TTCCTACAACTAATGGAGAGTAGTTTGAATTCTGCATGTCCAAAAAAAGAATAAAGCAAATGACAGTGTTAGAAAAGATTGCTCACAAAAACATGGATTACATAGCCTGAAGAATAAAGTGTGACTTTCTACTATTCTTAAGTTTGTGAAGGACTATTTGAGCGAAATGGTAACCAGCTGTTCTCTACTATTCACAGCCAAGTGAATACAAACACAAATTTAAATTGCAGAAACGCTTAGAAGTCTCATGAATAAAATACATTATTTCTCATTTTAGACACATCTGAAACTAGCATACAGATTGTCAAACTAAAAAACTAACAAGTAGAGAAATAACATTATTTCCTACAGTGAAAATTTGAATTAAAGGATTCCATACTACAGTATTCTAAGATCCCACAGTGTGTGTGTGTGTGTGTGTGTGTGTGTGTGTGTGTGTGTGTGTATAAAGTTTACATGTACAGATCCTGGACTGAATTGAAAAATTAAGTAGCCACTGGAATAGTGCTTGGCTCACTCAACTTTATGACTGGTAAAAGCAGAATTGTATCAGTCAATTCAAAATGGCATTTGAAAATATGTGTAGACAATCCCAAAGATATGGAATCAACCTAAGTGTCTGTGAACCGATGAGTGAATAAAGAAAATGTGGCATATATATACCATCAAGTACTACCCAGTGATAAGAAAGAATGAAATAATGTCTTTTGCAGCAACTTGCATGGAAATGGAAGCCAGTATCCTAAGTGAAGTCACTCAGGAACAGAAACATAAATGCCACATGTTCTCACTTGTAAGTGGGAGCTAAACTATGGCTACACAAGGATACATAGAGTGGTATAATGGACACTGGAGACTCAAAAGGGGAGAAGGTGGGAGGGGGTGAGGAATGAAAAATTATCTGTGGGGTACAGTGTACACTATTTGGGTGAAGGGTACACTAAAAACCCAGACTCCACCACTATACAATATATACACGTAAAAGAATTCAACCTGTGCCTCCTAACTCTATTAAAATTTTTTAAAAAAGGAAAAAAATAAAATAGCATTAATAATGAGTAGACAAGGTGGAAAGTGAAGGAGGCAGCAGCTCATGGTCAAAGGCAAAAGAATGGACCAGGAGATTGCCTCTGCGAGCACCAGCCCCTCCTACGCAGCCATGCTGCTGCGGATCAGGAGGTAACATAAGAAGTGGTCTGGTTTGTAGAATGTTAGGATGTTTTAACTTCCCATGGAGTCCGTTATTACAGACTCTGTGGGAACCAAACTTTGTAGTTAGGGCTTTTTCTCCACCAATTAATGTAATATTTAACCTTGCTGGTATTTCTAATACACAGTTTTTAGAAATTGTTTTATGTGTCTTTATAACCTCCTCTCTTCCTGTTGCCCAGCACATAGCAAAGGTTAAATAAATGACCAAATCTGTTGAACCCTAGAGAGAGATGGCTAGAAAGTGCCTTAGCAATCATCTAGTCTAACGTTCTTATTTTACAGACATGGAAGCTGAAGCACATGGTCCAGAAACTTGCCTAACTTCACAGAAGCAATTAGTGAAAGAGGAATAGACGGCAGATTTGCTGACACCTAGTTCATGCTGACTTGAAGGCTACAACATTTTAGGAACTATAGCTTTGAAGCTTTAGGTCCACAGTCATAGACAAGGGTTCTGGGACTGTGAGACGGTAAGGTAGTTAATTCTTAAATGAGTTGTAAAAGTAAACAGAGGAGTGCAGCTGTCAGCCAACCTGTCTTCTCTGGCGTTAGGACAGCCCTCCCGTGTGCCACAGGACTGACCACAGTCGGCTGTCCGAGAAAAATCGGGGATTCTTTACTGTAGACTTTTGAGAGTCAGTTAACTCAGGATTACAATAGAATAAGCCGAAAGAAAGCCTTATCTGAAGTGTTAGCAACTATACTATAAAATAAGAGCTTTAAAAAGTACTTGTGATTATGATAATTTCAAATAATTCCATAAGGTTTTGCCTTAGTCTTCTGCTATAAAGAGATTTTCTTTATCATTATATCTCTTATTTATAATGGCTATTTTCAGATCTAAGAGCATATAAAGCCTTCAAGGCTTACGATATTGAGTTGTTTATAAAGGTACCTTTGGGGGTTTTATTTTAAAATATTTAAAATTTATCTGAAATCAAGTTAGTGTTAACCAACGGATGCAAAACACAATTTTTTTTTCTCATTAACAAGGCTCTTTTTCAATGTTTTTGTTTGTTTTCAAGTTTCAAAACCTAATTACTCTATCCTTTTCCTTCTTTAGGAAAAAGTGGTCCATGGTGTTTACATGCCCCGAGGTTATCTTGAATTGATACCGAATCCTAGGGACAATGAAGTGAATCACATAAGAGCCACATGTTTTAACAGTGACATAGTCCTAATGCCAGAGTTATCGACATTTAGAGTTCTGCCATGGGCTGAGAGAACCGCAAGAGTGATTTGTGATACCTTCACCGTGACCGGCGAGCCTCTGCTGACTTCTCCGAGGTACATTGCAAAGAGGCAGCTGAACCAGCTGCAGGACTCTGGCTTTTCTCTGCTCTCTGCCTTCATCTATGATTTTTGCATTTTTGGTGTGCCTGAAATTATCAACTCAAAGACCATATCTTTTCCTGCAACAACATTACTAAATAACCATGACCAGCCCTTCATGCAGGAACTCGTTGATGGCTTATATCACACAGGAGCCAACGTCGAGAGCTTTTCCTCCTCTACCAGGCCTGGTCAGATGGAAATCTGTTTTCTGCCCGAATTTGGCATTAGTTCAGCCGATAATGCATTTACTCTCAGAACAGGTGTCAAAGAAGTGGCAAGGAAATATAATTACATTGCAAGCTTTTTCATTGAGACTGGATTCTGCAATTCGGGAATTCTGTCTCACAGTCTCTGGGATGTAGGTGGGAAGAAAAACCTCTTCTGCAACAGTTCTGGAGTTGAGCAGCTCACAGTCACTGGGAAGAAATGGTTGGCAGGACTCTTGAAGCACTCTGCTGCTCTCAGCTGCCTGATGGCACCTGCCGTTAGCTGCCGAAAGCGTTATGCCAAGGAGAGTAAAGACCAGAAGGACAGTGTGCCTACAACATGGGGATACAATGACAACAGCTGTGCGTTTAATATCAAGTGTCATGGTGAGAAAGGCACCCGGATAGAAAACAAACTAGGCTCAGCAACAGCAAACCCTTACCTGGTGCTGGCTGCGACTGTTGCTGCAGGCTTAGATGGACTTCACGGTAGCGATGAGGTCTTGGCTGGCCCGGATGAGAGCACAGACCTTTACCCATCAAAGCCTTCTGAGATCCCTTTGAAACTGGAAGATGCCCTTGTGGCACTGGAGGAAGATCAATGTCTGAGAGAGGCTCTAGGGGAAACTTTTATTCGATATTTTGTTGCCATGAAGAAATATGAGTTGGAAAATGAAGAAACAGATGCTGAGAGAAATAAATTCTTAGAGTATTTTATTTAGAATTAGAACACTTAACTATTCCTTTAGAGATGTGATTATTACTTAAGTAGCTAATCTACCAGAACCAAAAGACAGAACTTTTGTAATTAATGACAAGATTACAAATGTTTTTGTGATTTTTTTTTGTCCCATGGAATATTTGACAGATGAAGTGGGACTGCTGAGAGGATTCTGATAACAGAAATAAACAATAAAGTTGCGGTGAAGCTGTAATATGCAAATTTACTAGATCTTGACAGTTAATCATCATTTTTCTGTGTATGTTGACCTAGATAGGAATATTCAGTTCCTTGGGCAATAAATATCTTTAAAAAAGACTTAAACATTAGAAAGCAAAATTTAAACGACTAAAAGAAAAACAAGAAGCAATCATTTCTTCTTCTTTTTTTTTTGAGACTCACTCTGTCGCCCCAGGTGGAGTGTAATGGCATGATCATAGCTCACTGCAACCTCAAACTCCTGGGCTCAAGGGATCCTCCTGCTTCAGCCTTCTGAGTAGCTGGCACTGCAGGCGTGCGCCACCATGCCCAGCTAATTATTCTATTTTTGGTAGAGACAGGGGTCTCGCTCTTGTTCAGGCTGTTCTCGAACTCCTGACCTCAAGCAATCCTCCAGCCTTGGCCTCCCAGAGTGCTAGGATTACAGGCGTGAGCCACCATACCTGGCCGAGGAGTAATTTCAATTATACACCTAGATTGTGACTGTAAGGGTGACAAATATACTAATATAATCTCTCTAATCAAGATATATTGAGGATCTAGGTTGTAAGCATCATTATGCTCTTTCTAAATAAGTTAAGAAAAGTTCTGCAAAAATATGTCATCATGACAAGTCAGCAGAATTTTTCCCATGAGTCTTCTCTTTTCATCTTTCTCTGCTAGCTCCTGACAGGCTTAGGAACTTCAAGGCTATAACATTCTCAAGAAACAAATCCATAAGAAACAGAATTAGGGCTGAGCATGATGAGGTCAGATTTTAAAAGTAGTCAAAGCCTTTCATTAAACAATACCCCATATAGAAGTTCAATACATAAAATATAGATGGAATAGAGTATGTGTGTGGGGGTGAGTGGGCTCTGCCTGCTTTGCTTAGTTCTTTGAAACTAGACAGCCCTCCGAGACCTCTAGTGCTCTGTGGAGTGTGAACAACTGCCTAGCTAGTCAGGGCTGTGTCTGCAGCTTAAATTTGTATTTAAATGACTGATTCTGCTGCCCACAGAGGTTGATCTCTCCCCAGAGAATATTAAATGTTCGAGGCCTTTGTTTGAGTGATATAATACTGCAACTATCACTAAAGTTTAGCTTCTTTTGGGAAGAAGTCCAAAATCCACTTACTAGCAAATGAAAACACTGTTCTGCTGCTTAGGATCAAACGGGAGATTTTATGTTCAATTAAAACTGACTGTGGTCTCAATTTTGATAGCAAACCCACAAGCAGAGAATTAGAATTTGGCTCAGATCCTTCTATTAAAATTCTTAGTCCTCAGTAGTTTAAAGAGTGAAAGTTGGTCTGTCCTTCACTAATTGCTCCCCTCTTTCCTCCCTTCTTTTCTCCTTTGAGGAGTGTGTCTGGATACACAATAAAGTTTTTGGGTGGATTAGGGGTAGAGAGAAAGGTAATGTAGGGTGGATGAAGAAGGAAAGGAGTCTGCCCTGAAACCTCCGACAGAATGAAATCCCACACATTACATAGATAAGGAGGAATCCCACCGCAGCTTGCTAGGTTGGCTGATGTTCATTTTCTGCACTGTTCTCGGTATTATAAAAGCTCAATGTGTCCGTTGGAAACACAGTGAAAAATAAAAATGACATTTCTGAGCCTTCATGTGTTTGAATGTGTTCATGTTATTAGGTTCAGGCCAAAAAATGTAAGTAGAAGTGTTACATGGAACTCTGGGAAACTTCCTTAAAGGACAAATGCTGTGTACCCTGCTTTTCCTCCGTCTTTTTGCCTTTACCCTTCCTGCTGACTGACCTACAGATAACGTGGCTGGGATAATGTCCTCGGGAGGGGAGATGCCCTCCACAAGGCGGAGGAATAAGGTGGAACCTCCGCTTTGTGGCGCGGTTTGACTAAACTACACCCAGATTTTTACCTGAGAAAGAATCAAACTTCTATCTCCTTTAAGCTACCACGATTTTGGTTCTTTGTTACTTGCAATAGAACTCTCCTTCTTTTGTGTGTGTGTGTGTGTGTGTGTGTGTGTGTTTGTGTATGTGTGTGTGTGTGTGTGTGTGTTTATGAGTGAGGCATTTGAGAGATTTGGGTATGAAAGAATAAAGGTAAAAGAACAGTGAAAGTTCACTTTCTCAGTGTTTCTACTTCTAGAAATGAGAATCTGAGTTAATCAGAGGGATCCGTACACTCAAAAAATTCTGTTGTCTCATCCTAGTAGAGCTGTGTAGACCCCTTCATAGTCCGTGGGCCTTCATGACACATGTCGAGCACTTTGACTTTATTTTATTGTAATGAATAAAAGATGCTATAAAAACTGTGCTAATCACAGTGTTTGTAGCCTTTATTTTTTTTTCTTACACATTATTAGCATAACTTAAAAAATGCAATACTCAGGATGCTAGTGTGAAGAAATTATATAACTGGTAATATTTTCTTCATTGTTACGTGTACGGTCGTGAGCTGACAGAAAATATTCAGCCATAGATTACTAATCAGTTTATAACAGAGGCTGGTGTGGCAGTCTCCACAGAGATTTCAGTTAGGTGTGTCCGGGTGTATATTCTTGGTCTTTAAAGCAAACTGAAAGGAAGCATTGGTCAAGAGAATTCAGGGCTAAAGAAAAATTGGGGTAGATAGATGTAAAAATTCAGTTATCTGCTTTTCTATTTCTTTTATCTGTTCACAGGCTTTCTATTGTTTAGGGGTCTTTCTGCTGATGCTTCTACCTTCTTGGTTTAGGTGAAGAGGGTCAGACATTTATTCAACAGCATTTCTTGAGCCCTTTTTGTGTGCTAAGGCTTCTTCTGGGAGCCATTGCACTAAGGGAGACCAAGACAAAGAAGAAGAGCAGACAATGAAAGAGTTTAGGATCTGTGTATCTTAAGCAGAACAGAAATAATTTTTCTATAGGCCTAATGCTGGAAGAAACTATTTAGAATGCTGCTTTATGACTTGAAAATGGTGCTTTATGAATCTCTCTGCAGAAATTACTTTCTTATTTTCATTTACTATAATTGTGCTAATCAAAGCTTAGGGGAAAATGTGATTACTGAATTTAAAGTTGGTTATTAAATGAGTATACATAAGAAATGTAAATTAAAAATGATAATGTTTTAAGACTAGAAACTAAAACATTAGTATCACAATAAGAAGTTTCTATTTTCAAGGACATTTTATGTTCTAAAATTTCATTTTACAGTGTCTGGATAACAACAAAGCTTGAAATGATGATTTGAAGGCAAGGAAAGATCTAAAAACTTTAATATGAATAAAAATTGAAAGCACTCAGTAAAGTCGGAGCTTGTTAGCAACACAGAACTGTCTCTTGACATATCTGTAGTCACTTGTTTAACAAAGTAGATTTACTAATATGTTTATGATACAGGTATTCTTGAACAATATCTTTAACCTTGGGGTTCCTATTACAGGTGTAAGAACTTGTATCTTTAAACATTACCTATGTGCACAGTGGCTTCCCTGTTAAAAACTTCTTCTCATGTTGCCTATAATTAGTGGTTTACATGACATTTCCTAATTAGGATGTGAGTTCTAAAAACGAAGGGAACAGATCTTACTCATCTTTATATTTATATTTCTTGTTCCTTGCATATGTTTTGGAATTCAATAATGTTTAACCAACCGACCAACAAATCAATGTATATGGTGTAAGCATAATACAATACTATGCTTGTCCAGTATAACACACACAGTCATATACCAAGAGAGTGAGGCATAGAGATGGAGACAGCAGAGAGAATCAACGGTTTGTGGTTTATTATTGGTCCTACAAGTTTTGCATTAGATGAACTTCTTCAGGTTTTCTGTTTCTAGAAGCTACTGAGTAAACACAATTTGATTAACTTGATGGGGATCGTTAAAAAACAGAGCAGGGTGAAGTGGTCATGCTTTTTGGCCACATGGACCCTTTCAATAGATTTCTTATGTATGTGAAATTCCTCGCCTTTGTACTCCTGTCTCCCAAAGTAGAAGTCAGAACCTCACCTTCCCAGTTTTTCTTGTAGCCACAGTACAAATACTCTTGTCCATCAGGCATAGTCATAAAACCCTCATAGACTCCACTCTGGCTAAGCTTGAGGGAGGCCCAGCAACGGAAGTCCCAGCAGGAAGCATCTGGGGTGGCATTGGTGATGCTGTTGCCCAGTGTTAGTGGCTGTAGAGTCTTTCTGGAACAGTCAGGAAGAGCTTCCAGACTTGATTTTCTGGCCCTCCCCGATTTGGTGTACTACTTAATATCTTTTAATACATTTTTTTTTCTTATTTTTTTTTTTGAGACAGAGTCTTGCTCTGTCACCCTGGCTAGAGTGCTGTGGCATCAGCCTAGCATACAGCAACCTCAAACTCCTGGGCTCAAGAGATCCTCCTGTCTCAGCCTCCCGAGCAGCTGGGACTAAAGGTGCATGCCATCATGCCCAGATAATTTTTTCTATTTTTAGTAGAGACAGAGTCTCGTTCTTGCTCAGGCTGGTCTTGAACTCCTGAGCTCAAGCGAGCCTCCTGCCTCAGCCACCCAGAGTGCTAGGATAACAGGAGCGAGCCACCACACCCAGCCTAGGATATCTTTTCTATCTGCCTTCAATTCTATGTTTTTTTTCATGCCAGCATCATGTTTTCTCTCCTGCTGTAGACTGGCTTTTTACGTTTCTTTCACTGCATGATGGAAAACAGCTGCTGAAAAAATAGCCCAGATTTGTATCTTTTACATTGAACAAGCAACCTGTTTGAAACTGGACTCTCCTAGTCCCACCTCCAAATCCCTCCCCACCCCCGGTTCAGTTTAGGCAATGTAGTCACTCCTCGTCCGGTTAACTGTAGCCCAGAAGGGAGACGTCACAATATATGAACGTGGCTGCCCTCTCTGTTACAATATGGATGTGTCAGGCAAAGGGAATCGTTGTGGGTTGGCATGAAAACTCAGTGGGTGCTGATGGTACGTCCCATACATTTAATTTCCATTTATAAGCAGATGATTGCCAAATTGATTTCTCAAAATGCACCTCCACTTGAATGTCCCACAGGCGTCTCAAACTCAACACATCCGGCGTTTAATTTATGACCTGTCCCTATTCTTTTGGCTTAAAAATCTGCATATTGGTCTTTTGTTATTTTTTAAGTCTTCGCTGGCCTCCCTTTAGGAGAGGTCTCTTGTCGCACCCGG